GGGGGGGGGGGGAGGAGAGGGGACTCTGTCCTGAGCAAACTCATTAAAATTTTCAAATCACAGAATGACAGGTCCTTATATACATTGAAATGGAATGAACGAACAGAAAAATGAATTTGAAAAGAATGAGTGGATAAATGAGTAAATAATTTTGAAAATGAATAAATGGATGGAAAACAGAGAAGTAAATTATTAAGCGTAGCTCTTCTGCCATTCAACTATCATGCAGATTAGGTGGTCAGCAGACCGATTGTTTTGTCGCAGACGAAGCTCATAATACTATCCGTACCGGAAGCAACTAGATTTATTACTGTATTGGGATCAGTTACATCGTCCAAACTGTAACTATCCTATCGGTTAAATAAAGTTGACAAGTCAGCGAAATGTCTTCTCGTGTTTTTATTGAGACTTTAAACTTTACCGCTTTGCTTCTCTTCTTCTGCAACTGCTACGTATGCAACTGTTCACTTCACTTCTTCTTCACATTTTTCAGCTGACTGCAGGAATCTCTTCTGTTTTTTTTCAGGCGGGAGAAGGAGGCGGAACTAAAGAAGAGGTTAGCCAAATATCCTCTTGCAAATACGTAATAGCATTTTTGTTTTTACTGGCAAAGGAACGGGATGCTTTTTGGGATTTCAATTCAATATGCAATCAAAATTCATGCACAATTGTTTTTCCCCTGTAGATAGAAATAGGAAGGGACAATCATGGAGCACAAACGGATTTGCTCGAAGCTGTTAGTGGAGAACAGGTATTATGCAGCATTTTGCATACAACAGTAAAAATTTAGACGAGTTCTGAATTTCAAACTCATTTGGATATTTTATTGACAAGGATCATTTCATGAAAGTCATAAGCTTTGATGGAAAGATCAGCGAAATGTTTCCTTTAGCGTGTATTGAGAATATAAACCTCAATCTGACTTGGCTCGACCCTGGGTTTGGTTGTTGTCCCCTGTTACGACCCTATTACTGCTACATACGACATTTCACTGAACATTTTCTGAATGCTTAATTATTTTTAACGGATGAAAAAAAGTGACGAAAATGATGGACAGGCCATCCAAATGTATCGAGAAACCCTTGACACCTGAATACTTTGCCTATCAATTTTTGACCATCTTCTGACCTTTGGATATCTCTTTGTTTCAGACGCGCATGGAGGTAATGAAAAGATTAGTTGAGGAGTATCTTGTAGATCGCTACGTAGATAAATGGGCGGAGCACAAGGTGAACACACGAGCTTTGCGCCCTTAAACCCTCTCCTTTTCCCCAGTTTTCGTTCCTAAACAGTTCATTAAATCTCATGTTGTACAGAGGAGGGAGATTGGATTTATATATACATTAGCCTCTATGTGGCGCGAAAATACGCCCAGATTCTTGTCCGCGGACATTGTCTGCTTTAAGCAGCGAACAGTTGGGTAGAGCCAAATTAAAATAAAAATTGAAGCTTCCATGAACAGATAAAGTCGGAGGACGGATATACGAGCATGTTCTCTTTCTTATTGGGGGTTTGGGTTTAAATGTTCTTCAAAAGGTTTTTGCTACGCGTGGAACGAAACATTTACAGACAGTAACCGTCAAAATCGAATGTTCCTAATTTTCCAGAGCTACTTCATTTGCCAACGAGTTTGTCTAGCATCGAAATTAGAAAAACGCTTTCCTAACTTGATACAATGTCTACAAAAATATAGAGGCTATTAGGCGTTCATTTCTCTGTTTTAACAGGGTTTATTCGGCCGCGTAATGTTTTAGAAAAAAATCGTGCATTAACGAAATATAACAATTTGATGAGTTTCAACTTTTCTAAGAAACATAGAAATGTATTGACCGTAGTGTAAAGTTTTTATTTGTAACCGGTCGGACATTTATAGTCTATATTTGGTGTAACTAATATCTAGTTAAAAGAGTTCAAGTACCCTTCATTTTAATTACTGAGTTATTGTGTAGGAATCAGACATTTTTCTAGCGTCGTATGGTGGAGTGTGGGGTAGTGTCTTTAAATATACATATGGACTATTTACTTTTACGATATACTTCTCCATACTTTGATAAAATATTGTAAAAGGATAGGATAGTATCATATTTTTCGGAGCTAATCGTTCGATACTTTACTTATTGAGGAAAGTGCTTCAACTGCAAATGATTGTGAAATTTTATCTGAAAATTCTTAAAAATTTGAGTAAAAATAGATATCAAACAACGTAGATAAATTTTCAATAGTTATGTAATAGTCGTAGAACGTTTACATTTATGTTGAAGAAGTTGATGATGGATGATGAAAAAGATTATTATTATCCTGCCTTGGATCATTATACAACGTGCACACTACGTGACTGGGAACGCTTAAAAGAGCGTTACCAGGAATTTGAGCGAAGCCCTATTTTGTGTTGGCATTCATCAATAAAGAACGATCATCACAGCAAATCAAGGTCTCTTGGGATGTTTATTTACTTCTTTAGCCCTATAACTTGTTTTTAATTGAGCTTTTTGAGTTGACTAGCAAATAACCCAGTTCCAGGAAACAAACAATGGAGGAAGTATACAAAACTTTATATGGTTTTTAAGAAGATAAAATTTTCTTTCCAACTAAGAAATTTTTGCGATTGACGGGCGGCCCCCTGTAGAGTTCTGACGTCATATATACCGTTAAAGCCATGCTCAACCAAGTAAAATTTGAGAATATTTCTCTCCTGTGGTCGAGAGTTTAGTGGCTGAAGGGGATTTTAGACTCAAGAATGTAAGTTTAGGGTCTTGCAATTAAGTTGAAACATCTCTCGGATTTCAACAGTATTCTATTTGATTGACAGGTGACATCCAATTTGTCACGCTTTCCATGCTCATTCTACAACTTATGTAACATATGCAACTTTCAAATGCCTCATTGGCAATATAATGAGTTGAAAACTCTGTAAAATATGCTAGGGTATTTTCCCCTACCAATATACACCTTACTAAGGTTCAGTTGCACCAAAAAAATATAAAATTTGTGATGAGCAAGCTGGATAGAGTGTCACACAACACCCAAACTCAATGACAACAAAAGATAATTGTCTGAATTAAGTGCAGTTTAATTAACAAAAACCCAATTACATGTTAAAACTTAGGCTCTCAAATATATCAATCTCTTAAATGATCACATTCAGCAGTGTGCCACCTCTGAAAACAATTACGATCAAGTTGAAGGCAGAGGGGAATATTACAAACTGCACACTGCCAGGGGGTTTTCATTGCTTCTTGTCAAACTCATAACATAGCTTACAATTTTTTTCTGCCCAAAGAAGCCTTAGTGGATTTATTCTCAAGTCCCTCTGGTGAAATGGCTACTGGACAATGATCAACCCTACAATTATACTTTCTTGGACGGCCAGGTCCAGGTGAAGGATTCTGTGCCATTTCACTCCTTTCAAGAAGGGCTTTTGCTAAATTAACCTGAAACAATTTGTGGGTGAGTTTTCCACCTATTGACCTATGGATGATAAAGCTATTAACAATACCTACATCAATGAAATGAGAAAACAAAGTCTTCCACCACTTCCTAGATTTCCTTACAATTTCATAGCATTTTAGAAGTTGATCAGATAGATCTACTCCTCCCATATTAGCTTTGTAACCTTTCATAGGTGGGGGAATGTTAACACGATCTTTGACATATCTCCCACCCACTAATTTTCCCCTACCCCTTTCTATGAAGTCCCTCCCTGTAGCTGGATAAAAAGTTGATAAAGCACAAACTACTTTAGTATCTTTCCATTTAACAAATACAGTTTGTCCCTCATGAAACCACCTGGATGTTCTGCGTTCTGCCTTAGCTGGAAGGGGGTTACCAAGATTCCTGGGAAAACCTACTCTATTTTCGCGGATTGTCCCTGTTAGAAAACAACCCTTTTCAAATAAATCTGAACATAATTTTGGGCTACTGTAGAAATTATCACAAAATAAATGATAACCTTGAGTAAAAAGTCCATCCATCAGTCCCATAACTACATCATAACCCAACCCATGGGTGGTGGGTGTAAGGCGTTTCCCAGTGTATACTTGAAATTTATAAGTGTACCCAGAGTCTGAACTAGCCAAAATCCATAATTTGAATCCCCATTTTGTGGGTTTATCTTTTATATATTGCTTCATTCCTATTCTTCCTTTGAAGGCCACCATTCTTTCATCGATTGAAATATTTTGTTTTGGTACAAAGTAGGCTTTGCAGGCCAATTGTAATTCATCCATAAGAGGTTTCAATTTAAAAAGAGGATCATAAGGTTCTTTTCATGACTTATGTAATTCATTTATGTTATCTTGTTCATAATCACACAAATGTAGAGCTCTTAAAATATTCATAAAACGTGTTCTGGTCATGCCAGAAGAACGTACAAAGTCCTGACCGAAAAAACCGTCATCATTCCAGTATTCGGCCAATGAAGGAACATCGACAAGACCCATGAATATGACAATTCCCAGAAAGGCCAAGAACTCTTTGGAGGTCAGCTGAAACCAGCGAAAATAAGAGCTATCAGTTTTGAGCTTGTTACCAAACTTGTTAGTATTTTCTACGATCAAATTGATAGAACGTTGTAAAAAAAAAACAAAGAAAGCAAAGAAAAAGGAGTCCAGTTTGACAAAACTACAAAATGTTCTCCACAACACAATTTCTTCTAGGAAGAGATCTACATGAGAATGAAGAATAATTTTGGAGGTCTGGCAGACGTAAATAATCCTGACATCAAAATTACCCTTTAAAATATCGATAAACAAGTTCAATGTGGCCTTCAAGATGAACAGGAGAACAATGTTCAGAATAAAATCTGATCTGATTTCTGTTCGATTACAACTGGTCAACAAAAATGAACAATTTTCACTAAAATCCCGAGTATCAAGGCACAAAAACTCAAGAGAGGACAAATTAAGGTATAAATAAAACCACAATTGACATTCCTTGGCGTAGCTTACAGAAAAAAGCAAAAATTTAGCGTAACATACCTCTCATCAGCTGACTCGATCTGTGGATCACAACCAGCATCGATCATTTCTTCTTCTTCGGACGATAGTTCTCCGAATTCTGACCCCGAATCGACCTCAAAATCACTGTCTAAGACATCTTCAACAGAACGGTAAGTTTTGGTTTTGTTTGAAGCCACTGAAGCAAGAAAATCGACTTCAAGTTCGCTTCATTGAGTACAGCAAGAATGCAAATGGCGTCTAAAGTAAGCGTGATGACGCGAACATGATACCATGTGGAATTTCTCAACTTCACCAATTACAAATCGTGTAATAACCAGTGCAATAAAGCCTTGCTACATTATCTATCAGAAACTTTGATTGGTTTTACTGGTGAAGAACCATATATTTGTGTAACAAGCACGTAAAGTCATCGTTCGCCGGCGTACGATTATTTAAGCGCGAACATTTAAAGGGCCAACAGAATCAACCAAAACAGTTGACTCACCAATATATAATCCCTCTACCACAGATGTACCCCAAAAAGTATTTCTGAATCACCTGCAACATGGAGTGGTAGAAGTCGTTGTTCCTGAGAGAGTAAACTATGGGATTTATAACGCTATTACTACAGGTAGACCACACACTGACAACCCTTACAACACGTGATTGACCACTGATAGCATAAAAAAATATTTCCAGAATTAAAACTAGCATCTATACAACTTGATAACTAGAAACACGAACAACCCTGCTCTGTTACGGTCTTCCGTGATAATCAGCAAAGTAACGGAAGCACCTGTTATCAAGAATAGCTATAAAGCCAGTTTAGACTACTAGCAGTGAAGTCTGTCGCACAAGACAAGTGAAAATAAAATTGACGTTAACGCACTGCGGAGAGCGAGGAGAGACTACTCGGAGTCTTGAGCTAAATGGCCATTTTGGGTATGACCACACATATGTCATCTCCAGTGGTATCAATCAGATTGAAATGCATATGTCTGCCAGCGCCAAAATCAAAATATAGTTATTTGAAGGTCTTCGTAGTTTTAAGTTGACGTATCAAACAGAATGGATATCGGAATCTGAAAACTGTTCATCCGGTCCGCATCGAAATTTGTTCCGCAAAAGGAGCTGAAAAGAGCCACTAGATAAAAATCCTTTCCCCCAAGAGTTGTCGCGAGTATAGAAACTCTTAGATCTGCTAAACTCTCTTTTTTTATGTAACAACCTTTTTTTTTTTATAAAGAACGTATAGTCTAAGGTTAACCAAAATTTTAAGGACATAATGAGAACATACCCAGGTTGAGAGTCAGTTAAGAGGGGGGCTTTGGGATTTTCGGTTTTGCGGTTTTGACTGCTTTTTGGATCGGTTTTTCGGTTTTTGGCCAAAAAGGTTCGGTTTTCCGGTTTTGATATTCAGAGCAGTTTGCGGATTTTACTTGTTTTTGCATTCGGTTTTCGGTTTTCACGAAAACTCTGATGCGGTTTCGGTTTTTCCCTTTTGACCCCTTTAAAGGTGAAAGTGTAGCGGTTTTGTCAGGTTTGCGTGCGGGTTTCGGTTTTGCTCCCTTTTTTCGTCGGTTTTTCGGTTTTGGAGGTTTTTTTCTCCGGTTCTGCGGTTTCCCAGAGGCCCCAATGCCCCCCTCAGTTAAGAAAGTCTTTATTTTGTGGGAATTAAAAATACTGAGGTAAGAGAAATATAAAACATGACAATTAAGTCTAATACGAAAGGAAATTTTTTTAACATTAATAATTCGGTTTTCACCTCGCATGATGCACTGAAACAAAACTAAGTTTGTAGTCGAACTTAATTTATTCGTCTATTAAAATACCATACCAGACCATACCACTCAACTTTAAGAACACGTCAAGAACGTTTTCAGGCTCAAATCGCAAAAGAATATAAGAAGGTTCAGCTTCAGCCCCAAAGTAAGACGTTCTTATCAAAAGAAGAGTGTATGGCACTCAACAGCGCGATTTTTCGCTTCCGTTGCTCATATGAAGTGCCGATTGACTTCGCTATTTCTTAGAAAGATACTACTCCGCCTGACTAGGAAGTAATAGCCAGTTGATGAAACATACTTCAGCACAGTGGAATATTTCTTTCAGATACCCTTAAAATGCGAAGTTTCGGCTTAAAAAAGAACACCGAAAGATGCGTGACGTCTACTCTGGAGTGTGACAATACTATGACTTGACACACAATTTTGTAATATGAAGAAACATTTGTTTATTACTCGGGCTTCGGAAAGTCCGAGTCTAAAAATGCAAGCCGTTTTGGTCGACAAAAGGGGGGTCATGGTCCCAAGCGTTCCATGCGTAAACCGCGGAAACTGGGGATGAGAGTGCGACAACTTGTGTTATCGTGAGCTCGCTCTACATAAACAACGTAATTTACAGAATGCTGTGTTTTGTGAAGACCGCTTTGCAAAGATTCCTGTCTTATAAGCTCATCCCACATGCAAACGCACACGCCATTCGTGGCAGGCCCACGCTAAATGATATCGAGTGTTTTCGGAATGGGCCGGCCCGCAAACTTCATTGCTTGAAAGCTAGCCAAATGTGGAAAGTTCATACTAGTTCTCACGAGATAAAAAATGAGCCATATGTGAATTTAAACTACGAAAACACTGGCAATACTGTGACGGCCTATTTAACAGCAAACTATGATGCTGAGACGAACATCTCGCTGAAAAAATCAAGAATGTTCGTGAACAGCAGCGAATTGGATAAGGATACTGACAGAAGCAACTTAAATAGTAAGGTTAAATATATAAACTTAGCTCGTCCGTTAAATATCCTTTTTCTGTTGCTGGTTTTTAGGGTTCAATACTTGTAAAGTACGATTTGGTATTTCGTACAGAATCACTATTTATACGTATATGTGAACGATCCTTCGCAGTAAAGCACTATTTGAGCAATAGTGAAAATCAGACCTGAAAAAAATTTCAGGCCTGTACGGGATTCGAACCACTGACCTCTGCGATACTAGTGCAGCGCTCTACCAATTGAGCTAACAAGCCAACTGGGAGCAGGCCATCAAATTAATTCGACATAAACCCGTAGATGATAAATCAAACAACAACAAACATATGAAACATATGTATGAACTGCGGTTATGAGACGTATATGTGAACGATCCTTCGCAGTAAAGCACTATTTGAGCAATAGTGAAAATCAGACCTGAAAAAAATTTCAGGCCTGTACGGGATTCGAACCACTGACCTCTGCGATACTAGTGCAGCGCTCTACCAATTGAGCTAACAAGCCAACTGGGAGCAGGCCATCAAATTAATTCGACATAAACCCGTAGATGATAAATCAAACAACAACAAACATATGAAACATATGTATGAACTGCGGTTATGAGACGTATATGTGAACGATCCTTCGCAGTAAAGCACTATTTGAGCAATAGTGAAAATCAGACCTGAAAAAAATTTCAGGCCTGTACGGGATTCGAACCACTGACCTCTGCGATACTAGTGCAGCGCTCTACCAATTGAGCTAACAAGCCAACTGGGAGCAGGCCATCAAATTAATTCGACATAAACCCGTAGATGATAAATCAAACAACAACAAACATATGAAACATATGTATGAACTGCGGTTATGAGACGTATATGTGAACGATCCTTCGCAGTAAAGCACTATTTGAGCAATAGTGAAAATCAGACCTGAAAAAAATTTCAGGCCTGTACGGGATTCGAACCACTGACCTCTGCGATACTAGTGCAGCGCTCTACCAATTGAGCTAACAAGCCAACTGGGAGCAGGCCATCAAATTAATTCGACATAAACCCGTAGATGATAAATCAAACAACAACAAACATATGAAACATATGTATGAACTGCGGTTATGAGACGTATATGTGAACGATCCTTCGCAGTAAAGCACTATTTGAGCAATAGTGAAAATCAGACCTGAAAAAAATTTCAGGCCTGTACGGGATTCGAACCACTGACCTCTGCGAATACTTACCTCAGAATAGTAGCAGCTTTTTCTTTCTCGAAAGGAGTCAACGGGCACATTTCACATGCCTTACATGCTATTATGCGCTTATTGGCTGAAAAAATGTTACAAACTGCCCTTTTTTAGTTATATTGTGCGCGTTATTCAAACATCATCCATAGTAGGAAACGAATCTTCAACTCAGTATAACGCTTGCTATCCGAAGTACCCTGTCGGTATCAGCCTTGCAAAAACAGAGAGCCTATGGTTGGGTTTCAGGTGACGTCACAAGCTTTGCTGAAGTTAGTGTCCGCCATGTTGGTGTCCCTCGGGTGTCAAATTTATGAATAATCAGTCGATTTCTATAGTGAAGCCCTCTCTCTTATCGCCATATTATTTCGCCAACTACATGAATATCCAGACAGCAAAAAGCGATAAAAGTATCCGGCATTCATCTTAAGGTATCCCAGTGCTCTCTGAGTATGCCGAAAGCTTAGAGNGTTCGAGGCTTGCGGCTGTTGTAGATCCTCGATTTTTTGGTCGAGCTTTTCTTTGAGCTTCTTAGCCGATGAGAAATCGATGTCTTTAGCCCTCGCATACGGCACTTCATTGACCTATGTCGGCAAAATCCATGAGCATTTTACCTGAGTGCAAGTAAGCTTGGGGTGTCACGAAAACTCACACCCCGAAAACTCAGACTCCTCGAAAATTCAAGAGATAAACTCGACTCATGATCACTCCTGGTAATCCCTCGTGTATTTTGACCTTTTGGGTCTTCATCCAACTGAAGCAGCAAAAGCAAGGCCGCAAGTTGCACGTTTCGCAAAATCGTCCGATGGTTGAGTATTAAAACATTTTAGAGTGACACAAGACTTCATTTAGCTTAGATTTCCTCCATTTTTCCCGTTAATTTTGAACTTTTCATTCACAGTTAACGGGATCAAATGCGCTCGCTCCAACACCAAAGTATTAAAATGTGGCGTGATTTTGACGAGCCGAAAGGGACGTTTGTTTACCTTTTTGTACTTCGTCGCACAGATCCTTGTTGTCGCTCTGTTAAAATTCTTAAATATTTCGCGATAATAATGGATACAAACAGAGACTCGGCCCACCAGTCCCAAAACGAAGACAATTTTGCGACCCTTGGGCTAGAGTTCTTAAATGAGGCAGAAAGAGAAAAACAACGCGAAAGAAGACTCGGCATCAGCGCCGTCACGATTCGCCTCACTGAAGAATCACTCTTGATATTGTTGTTCGTCTTTCGCGTCGGATTTGTTGCATTATTCCACCGGTTATATTATAAAAAAATTGGTTCATGCTTTATGCTATGCACTATCGAATTATGGAGCACTTCGGAAGCTTGGAGAACACTTCGAGGGACCTGAGTTTTCGGTGTCTGAGTTTTCGTGACACCCAGCGACCTTGCCATGAATTCTAGTAGTTGCCTCTAACATAAATAAAACACTCGCGATATGTGAGCATGACTCAGCCAGTCCAGCTTTGCATCCCAAGCAATGGGCTGACAAAATAGTCCCATCGTTTTCGGAAATGACCCAAATGTTCACTAAAGGATCATTCATATGCTGTGAATGCCAAACTCGTGCTCTCACGGCATACTTGCCGGCGATTACTTTGCCTACAACTGAGGTTACAAATCCCGACACCATTTGATTAAACGCCTCTAGACTCTTGAACGCCTTGAACTGCTTCTTGGTGTAGAAGCTGGTCTCAAGAACGAGGTAACTCAGCAAGTCCGACGCTTCCACAGGAGGCAAGCATTTTGGACTGAACTTCTCGGCTGGTATGCTTGCAGGGTCAACCCCAATGACCGAGATCTTTTGCAAACATCTTTCCTTCCAACTCTCTAAGCTTTCGGCCTACTCAGAGAGCACTGGGATACCTTAAGATGAATGCCGGATACTTTTATCGCTTTTTGCTGTCTGGATATTCATGTAGTTGGCGAAATAATATGGCGATAAGAGAGAGGGCTTCACTATAGAAATCGACTGATTATTCATAAATTTGACACCCGAGGGACACCAACATGGCGGACACTAACTTCAGCAAAGCTTGTGACGTCACCTGAAACCCAACCATAGGCTCTCTGTTTTTGCAAGGCTGATACCGACAGGGTACTTCGGATAGCAAGCGTTATACTGAGTTGAAGATTCGTTTCCTACTATGGATGATGTTTGAATAACGCGCACAATATAACTAAAAAAGGGCAGTTTGTAACATTTTTTCAGCCAATAAGCGCATAATAGCATGTAAGGCATGTGAAATGTGCCCGTTGACTCCTTTCGAGAAAGAAAAAGCTGCTACTATTCTGAGGTAAGTATATCGTTTCTCGAATGCGGGCAAACAACAAATGATGGCCCAGACAAAAACCTTAGGAAAAAATACCCGGGACAATTTCAGTGAATTTTTAGAAAAGATGCAGGAAAAAAAAAACGAGGAAGTACATAAATTCTTATTAAGTGTGATTGGAACGGAGGGAACTGAGGCGAAACAGAGAGGGGCCGATTCACAACAAAATCTTGCAACGAAACTCGAAGACGCTCTCCGGAAGAGTGATGTCGTTGCGGTCTGGCGACTCATAGCTGATGTAGAGGAAAGCGAAATTACGACAACAGCGAAAGATACTACAGAAGCAAGAAAAGAAATCAAGACACTTGCTGCCTTACAGGTTGCGAAAAGAGTGAAAAGGAAAGAAGATGAGGGACTGTTTACGATCCTTAGGGGCTTGTAGAGCTTGATTCTCCCTTTTCATTACAATGATAAAGGCAAAGAGACGGAAACGGGAGGCGAAAATGTCCAGGAGAAAGCTTGGATCAACATTCTGACCAACTCTTTGTACATCAGTCTCGAATGGCTACGCAAACAGTCATCGGCTGAGAATGAAACGGAGACCACCGATATCATTAGGGCTGCCCTACAAGATGACTACCTCTTGGAAAAAATTTCTTTAAAAGAAACGTCACCACGACCGGGATGAGTATAGGAAGAGAGCAATGGAATGTGAGGAATTTTCCACTGACATCGTAGAGCAAATAAGTGCCTCTGATTCAGGAAAACTTCATAAAATTATGGAAATTAAGGGAGTCGGCTCCTTGCTGAATAGAAATCACAATAATTGCAATGAGAGTCTGAGTCTTCTCAAGATGGCCGCTGATAAACAACGCAAAAGGTGAGAACTGTACATGTAAGCTTTAAAGCAGGATTTAGTAGCGTCCTTCCTTTATCTTCGGTTGAGGTTAGATGTAAGATGATAAGAGCCTTTGTTTTCATTTTGAGAAATGTTAATCTGTCACGAATTCATAGAAATTTGACCGTCAGGCCAACATAGCTTGAAAACAGGCGCGCTCGTTGTGTGCGATAAAAATTGAGTTTCCAATGAAAATTTAATTTCTAAAGTACATGTCAGCTCCAAATATCATAAAGGCCAAAGCATAATCTCCATCATCTTAGAATTTAAGCTTTATATATCGGCTTGGATTGTTGAAATCGATAGTATCCGTCACGTTAGCCAAGTTGAAATTTTGCCAAGTCCGAAAGTTTTGACTATCATACAATTTAACATGAGAATGACCGGGACTGAGTACATTTTCAACGAGAATGATCCCTTTCCAACATAACTTTCTATGCTTAGGAAGCAACATGTAAACACTGGCGCAGGTATAGATGCGCTATAATCAGACATTCTAGTCTTCTAGGATAAAGACTAATAAACCGTATGTCCCGTCTTTTTGCACCAATTAATTAGTTAATTTCCTTCGTTTCCTTCGATTATGTTAGCTGCTTGATGCAGTCCGGGTAAAAGTCCCCCGAAAGTGTTGTTAAGGCGCATTTGATCATATTCATATTGCGCCTAATAAGTAATAAACTATTATTATTATTTTTGTTATTACTATTATTGCCTGGATTATACGAGTGCTCTACGAAAAGTGTCAGTGTTTAAGTGATGTGCAGATATTTGCATTCACGAATAATGGTTCCCTCTATTCCCAGTTTGCAACGAGCCCCAAATGTCAGCTCATTCTCGACGAGGTCATTTACCGTGAGTGGCCCCCCATGTGGCAGGATACAGGGCCGACCCTGAAGGCCCTACGGACGGTTCTTCTTTCGCTATATTTTCAGCATATTTTTTGCTGTTTTCGTCTACTCCACTATGCACCTCATACTGAGAGGCTGTTACTGCTGTAAGTTAGATGAAAAAGGGAGATGCTGGAAATTTAGGGAGCTTTTGGAGCCTCTCTACTCCAAGTTCATCAATCAAACCGTGTCCTACTTTATTTTTTCTCATCTTGGTCTTCTGGTCCACATTTATAACTAGATTTGACGAAAATAGGACAGGCTTGATATCTGGTGAGTCATTTTGTTTACTGATGCACGAGTGATGACTTCTGACAGCCTATAAATGTGTCTCTTCCCCTACACCTCTTACCCATATGTTGTTTAGATCATTCTAAACAACATATGGCAATCTGCGGTCTTTTCTTATATTTAGGCAACACGGAAAGCAGCAAAACTCTTGAACAAAAGTTTATCTTTCAAAGCGGCACTCTTAATCCCACAGGTATCAACGAACGTTTTTCATTCCACTAAACAATTCGTGTTTTTCTCGTCGCCATGTTCCCACCAATGGCGTAGCTCCGCTTTCTGCATTTAAACCCACATACAACCCATAATTCCTCCATTCACTCTGACGAAGGGCTAACGCTCGAAACGTCAGCTTTTTTACCCGTTACGGTGGCAAATTTACAATTTCAACTTGGTTGATATAACCAAATTCTAGGTTACTGTTCAGTGGGTATGTGTTCCTGTACAAGTTTCAGTTATGTCAGTTCCAATACAAGATTGGATAAATTAAGTATGTCAAGAAATTATTGAATTGATTTGCTCGATTGCATTCACAGAATTGCGCGTTATGTATTTTGTTCAAGGCCTTTTGTTTCAAGAAGCCATAGAGGTCTACAGGCAAGGTCCTTCAATTTACTTTTCAAAATGGTGGAACGTTGTAGACGCATCGATCGTTTTAACATTCCTGCTGGCCTATATAATTTCGTTTGGTGCGTGGGAATTCTATGGAGAGTGGAAACCAAGAGAGGCTGCGTTTATCGTAGCTGATTCCATTTACGCCACGGCCGCTATATTGGCTTACTTCCACTTAGCACACATCGATCCCACAAGTCAATTCAGTGTTGGGTCCTTTGCAGCTGTCTCTTTAGAAAATGATCAAGGATTTTCTCAAGTTTCTTGCTATTTTTTCTTCACACCCTCCAAGTGGAGAGTTTGTTGTTTTCTTTCCTTCAAAAAACTTTCGCTGTACGTGGAATGAAACGGAACGTTTACAAACAGTAACCGTCAACTGAAAAACGGTTGTTACTAACTTTTCAGAACAACTCTATTTGCATGCAAGTCTGTCTCCTATTCTGTGAAAATAGAACTTGAAATAACTTTCAAAGGCACACTTTCATCACATTGGAACAAATTCAGTCACGTCACGCATCTGAGGAATTCAACTTGGTAATATTCTAAAGAGATACCCCCAGTTTTCAAATATTGTATGAAAAAGACCGCGCGCTGGCGAGAATATTTGATGATTTGAAAACCTTTTCCAGTTTTAGATCTTATGACTGTATTGTAAAATACTAATTTTCAACCGTAAGGAAAATTAAAGTTTGTGTTTGGTGTCAACAGAGATCAAGAGCCTCACATGTTAGTTTCTGGGCAGCAGTTACAATGATATGGACTGATAGATCACAAACAGAATAGGAATCAGATATTTGCTGTAAAGTTGTTAGCCATTTTCTTTTACCAAATATTCTCTTATACCTTGTAAGAATATCATAGCACGATAGAATGATATCAGATTTTTTCCGTCGCTAAATTTTCGGTATTTTACTAACTGGGGAAATTACTTCCCAAACTGCAAGTAATTACAAAGTTTTATCACAATATTTTTAAAATTCTAAAATAAATAGAATTTATTCACCGGCCGGGAGGTTCGTACTTGGAAAAACAGCACCCGAGGTGTTGGATACCACGGCTAAGGGCGGTACTCAAGAGAGAGGCACAGATTTTCTCAATACGGACCGATCGAGGCTGGTGAATAACATTTTAATTTGTTTTATTTGGCTTAACGAAGTGAGACTCAACACCCACCGGAGACCAACCACTGAGAGCGGACAGGATGGGATAATACTGGCCGCTGTTAGAACCAATCAGATCGCAGGATTGCCTTATTGTGAAAATCATTCTATTTTATAGAGCCTCCAGTCAAAGATTTAGCAACTAAGGCAAACGATGGCATAGGCTGAAACAAGCAATGGTTATTCATACAGATGAATAAAGGCTGATAGTTTCAAAAGAAACTGTTTGGGGCTGCTTCGGTGGGAGTAACGAAATAATTTGGATATATCAACAAAGTTTAAGTGGTAAATTGGCCACCACAACGATTCCAAAAGTTGACGTTTCGAGCGTTAGCCCATCGTCGGAGCGAATAGAGGAATTGTGGGTTGTGTGTGCTTTTAAAGG